TCTTTCTGACAGTTGTCGGTCCGTACTGTCACGTCGGCGCCGGTCAAGTAACAGCGCCACACTTTGAATGCATGCACGATCGCAAGCATTTCGCGATCGTGTATCGGGTAATTCTTCTCGGGCGGATGCAACTTTCGTGATTCGTATGCGATGGGCTGTGAACCGTTGCCAAGATCCTGTAGCAGTACGGCTCCAATGGCGATGTCGCTTGCGTCGGTAACCACTTCAAATGGGCGGTGTGGGTCGGCGATGCGCAGTTCGGGCGGTGAACAGAACTGCATAGGGGCGGTGAACTCTGCAGCTCCGTGATGTTCATAGGGGGATTCCACGCTTTTACCGTGTCCAGTTTCTTCGGGTCGATTTCTACTCCAGCCTCTGAAATAACGTGCCCCAAAAACTCTAGCCTATCCTGGAAAAACTTGTCAGAATGCTATATTTGTCTAGCCTGCAGTGCGGTACTCAATAGTGAGTACAGCCCAATCTAGGGTTTTCTATATGTACTCAACTGCCTGCTAGTGCAAACCCCCTTTCTTGTTTCTAACTTGCAACTGTTATTCCAACAAAACTCGCACTTGGAACCCTTGGTCAGTAGTCTGTGTTGGTCTAAAACTGTAAATACTGCTTCTAAATCGGCTAAGTACTGCTGCTTGTCCCGACTGTAGACTAGAATGTCGTCGAGGTAGATGATGACACATTTATCTAAGAGTGGTCTAAACGCCTCGTTCATGGTCATCTGAAAAGTCGCCGGTGCGTTGGTCAGCCCGAAAGGCATCACTGTGTACTCAAATGACCCGTACCGAGTCCTAAATGCTGTCTTGGCACAGTCCGATGGTTCGACCCGAATCTGACGGTAACCTCCCCGTGAATCAATTTTCGCAGTTGATCTATCAGTTCGTCGGCGCGGGGGATGGGGTATCGCGATTTGACTGTAACCCTGTTCAGTGCTCTGTAATCGATGCACATGCGAAATCCTCCGTCCTTTTTCGGTGTGAACAGGATCAGTGCGGCGAATGGGGACGAGCTCGGTCGGATGAATTTTTTCTCTAACAGGTAATCTAACTGCTTCCTTAATTCGTCGAGCTCGGGCAGTGTCAATCTGAACTGTCACTGTACGGTTGGCTGTGCCCCGGATTCTAGTTCTATTCGGTGATCGTGCGTCCGCTGAGGTGGCAGACCCTCCGGTAAATCATCGGGGAAGATCCCCGGGAACCATTTCAACAGTTCCTGTAGCTCCGATGGTACTGCCGCCAGTAGTTTCTGAAAATCGCTCGGTTGATCTGCTTCTTCCACCATTGCGATATCCACCGCGTACACGTCAGCTCCAGCGGCGACAGCCCGTTTCATCGTGATGGTGTTGACGTGGACCGTTGAAGACTCAGGCGACAGCCAGCGAGGTAGTTCGACCCAGTTACCGCTACTTCGCACAGTACAGCTACCCGTCGTCCAGTCGATTTGCGGGTTGTACCGTCGCAGCCAATCACGTCCTAGTAAAATTTTGTGCCCATCCAATGTCGTCGCGAGCATTTCCTGTGTAAACCCGAAGTTTCCCCCACAGCGGACTTTTACTCTCTCCACTTTTTCCCGTATGGCCAGCGGCGTTCCGTCAACTAAACGTGGATCGATCTCCGGTAAACACCGACTAAGTGCCAGCTGCAGCTTCCTTGCAGTCGCGGTGTTAACTAAACTGTGACCTGCGCCTCCGTCTATCAAAATCTTCACTGCTGCTCCCTGTATTTTCCCATGAATCAATACTAGGCAGTCCGTCGCTGTACCCTCCTTATTCGTCCGAGCCCGATCGATAGCGTGAATCGGTACTGTGACTCGGTGGGGGTCGGTGAAGTTGGGCGAGCAGGCAGTCTCGTCAGACCCCCTCCCCCCTCAGGGTCCTGCCCCTTCAGGTGTGTCCCAGGTAGACGCAGTCGAACCTGTCGAGGTTACTGGTGACTCTGGTGCTGCTGAGGGTGCTGAGCCTGGGGGTGCTGACTCTGGGGGTGCTGAGCGTGTGGGTGCTACGCCTGGGGGTGCTGAGCCTGAGGGTGCTACTACTGGGGGTCCTGAGCCTGGGGGTGCTGAGCCTGGGGGTGCTACTACTGGGGGTGCTGAGCCTGGGGGTGCTGAGCCTGGGGGTGCTACGCCTGGAGGTGCTGAGCCTGGGGGTGCGGAGCCTGAGGGAGCTGGGCCTGCTCGTGTGGCGTCTGGCGGTGCTGAGCCTGGAGGTTCTCCGGGTGCTTCGTCTCGGCGGGAGCCACTCTCTCCACAGGAGCTGCGCGAGTGGTTTGCTAGTTGGCCCAACTTCTACTGACTGTTGGCGTTTCCCGGCCTCTGAGACTCTCGCCCCTGCTCTGTTCCGCGGCGCCTCAGCTCCTCTGGGCATTCACCCTTGCGATGGTCCGGCCTATTGCAAGCAAAGCAGCGCCCCTTAAACGGTGCGGCAGCTGCATTTGTCGCAACGGCGTGTACGGTGGCGTGCTCGATCGGTCCCCGAGGACGTTGTCCGTAGTAGGACCCCGGTCTCGGTCGTCGTAGGATGTCGATTTTCTCGGCGAGCGCGAGGATCTCGTTGAAATTCGAGAGCCCGCGTAGCATAATTTCGTGTGAGATGTCCGGCTTTAGCCCTCCGACGTAACGGTCCACCCGCTCCGCTTCGTGCATGTAGCCGACTTGCTCGCATAATGCGAGAAAACCGCTCGTGTAGTCTTGAACCGATCCAAGCTGCCGCCAAGTGCGCAATTTCTGACGCGCCGAAATCGAAGCCGCAATCGGCTCGAAACGCGCCCGAAGCCCTGCGCACCACGCATCCCACGTGCTGTACTGGGCTGTCTCGCAGAATGAACTCCAGGTGACGGCTGGGCCCGTGGGCCCGTCTTCTTGCGACGGTGGCTCATAGGCGCGTGGCGACGTCACGATGACTCGCCACCAGTCCATGACAGGGCCCCTCAGCAGCGAAACAGCGTAGCGAATCTTCGCTGCGTCCGACTCGACGTAGTTCGCGTCAAAGAACACGTTCATCGTGAAGACCCATGACTGAACCGTCGGACCCCCGCGTTGGCTTGGGTCGAAACAGGGCGGGCGCTGCGGCTTGAGTGGCATTGGTGCCGTGATGGCATACTCGCCACTTGTTGCTGCAAATTCCACGTGCCGACGGGCTTCGCGGGGCTCCCGTGGGCTTGGCGCGACTCTGTTTCTCTCCATGCCAGGCATTGAGTGAGCGGCGCCCTCACTGGCTACGCCTGAGCGCTGTCCCACGCTGTCGTTCTGTGTCGGTGTGCCTGAGGACAGGATGATCGGCTCCTCGGATTGTGCAGGTGCATTCACCGTCGATTGTTGGCGAGCGGAGTCGCGTTCCGCCGTGAGTGTGGCGATTTCAAGCGCCGAATCTTCAAGTTGGCGCACGAGCCGGTCTAGCTGCTCCTACGTTAGTGTCGCAACATTAAGTTCTGCCATGGCGGGGGTGTCGGGCGAGCTCAGCGAGAGCCTCTGTCGTGGCCGTGCGTGCTTACGAGAGGGCGCTACGAGCGGCGGTGCTTGGGCGCTGAGAGACGTCTACCCCCCCAAAAAAAATGAGATAGTGGGGAAACGAAGGTGTGGGTGCGGTCCAAGAGAAGATCGAAGGCTCTGATAACCAAGTGTTACGAGTGCAATTGAGTGAACGAGCGAGGATTGCACTATCGAGACAACAATACAATGAGCGAAGGATTGAGCGAAGAATATATAGCGAAGCTACGGTGGTAACGGTAACGTGTGGAAAATGGGGTGCGCGACGGGCCTGGTGCCGAGGTTGGGGGACTGTCGAGGCGGAGGTCCGGAGCGCGGGTTACCAACCGAACCGTGAGGTTGGGTCGCATCGTGAACAGTGGCGGGAATGGGGTCGAGGCGAATGTCGCGAGTGGTAACGGAATATTGTGGGGTGTTGTTGGCGGGAACAGTGGTGTACGCGCTGAGCAGGGACGCGAAGTAAGGAAAAGGGCTTTTCCTTACACGTACTGGCATTTCTCAGTCTTCAACCCAATGTACGGTACGGTACAACACAAATGTAATTTACTGGCACGAGTCAAAGAACCAAAAAGGTGCCATCAATTGGTGATAGATACAGAGATGAACAGAAGCAGCAGGAGAAAGTGGGGCAAAAGGCAGGTGGGTTGAGAGAGACGAGCAGACGCAGCCTTGGTGGTGGTGGTGGTGGTAGTTGGAGCAGGTGAATTGGACGGCCCAGTCGCTGCAGGAGAGATGCAGGGGAAAATGCGAGGGGGGGAATGTGGAGGGGGGATACGCGGGGATACGGGGATAGATGTGGGGGGAGATGCAGGAGGGGGGTGAATGGGGAAAATGCGGGGGAAGGTGAGGGAATTGTTGGTAAAAGGGGTGATGGTGGGATAGAGAGCGTTGTGGCAGGATAGGCAGAAGCAGCATGGATGGCAGGCACGATGTGGGGAGAGAGGAGAGCGGAGAAGAAGAGGGGGGACGTGTAGATAGGTTATTTTTGAGACGTCTCAAAAATAACCTATCTACACGAGCGTTGTGGCAGGATAGGCAGAAGCAGCATGGATGGCAGGCACGATGTGGGGAGAGAGGAGAGCGAAGAAGAGGGGGGGGGGAAGGGGGGGGGGGCGGGGGGGGGAGGAGGGGGGAGGGAGGAGAGGGAGGGGTGGTGCCGATGGGGAGGGGGTGTGGTGGAAGGGAGCGAGGGAGGGGAGGTGTTGGCAACTTCATCGCAATATGCAGCAGTCACGGTGAGCCGAGTGCCACCACGCATCCCCCTGTCTTCCCGCCACCATGGCTACTTCAATCAAATTAAGGAGCCACATTTTATGTTCATCCGTGCCAGTAGCAGGAGATGCCTTTTGCTCCTGCACAGCTGAGAACTCTCAAGGGTTGCTCACAAAAAGAGCAGCAGCAGCGGCGGCGGCGGCGGCGGCGGCAGTTGCAGAAGCAGGGAAAATTGAAAGTCCTGATTTGCTGGCACAGGAATTTTCTGAAGCAGTGAGATTGGAGAAGCGTACCTGATTCGTTGGTGCAAGAAGCGCAGAAGCCAGTGCAGGAAGCACAGAAGCGAGACATGGACACCTGCGGCACCTCACATGGGCCCCCTGCCGCACACTGCACCCGGTCCCTGTCAAACCAGCTGGGGGAAAGGCCAGGGAGAGGGATGTGCGGGAGAAGGGGATACGGGGAGAGAGGGGAGAAGATGAGAGGGAAGGGTGGGAGATGGGGAGAGGGAGAGGAGGGTGAGAAAAGGGAGAAGGGGAGAGGGGAAGAGAATGGGGTATGGGGGAAGCGGGAATATGGTGCCTAAGAAATGGGATGTGCTGGACAGAGGATGTGGGTACATGGGATTTTGGGGACATGGTACGTTGAGATATGGGATATGGGGACATGAGATGTGGGGACATGAGATGTGGGGACATGAGATGTGGGGACATGAGATGTGGGGACATGAGATGTGGGGACATGAGATGTGGGGACATGAGATGTGGGGACATGAGATGTGGGGACATGAGATGTGGGGACATGGGATGTGGAGACATGAGATGTGGGGACATGAGATGTGGGGACATGAGATGTGGGGACATGAGATGTGGGGACATGAGATGTGGGGACATGAGATGTGGGGACATGAGATGTGGGGACATGGGATGTGGGGACATGGGATGTGGGGACATGGGATGTGGGGACCTGGGATATGGGGGACAAGGTATGCTCAGACATGGGATATGGGGGCATGGGATGTGAGGGAGAAGCGCAGAGGCGTACAGGCGAGTGAGGTTGGTGAGCTGGCCTAGGGTGGCGGGTAGAGACCCCGCGAACTGGTTGTGAACCAGGTTGCTGCCATGCTCAAGCAGTCATTGTGTGGAGGAAGGGGGGGGGGGGGAAGGGATGGGATGGGATGGGATGGGAAGGGATGGGAAGGGATGGGAAGGGATGGGATGGGATGGGATGGGATGGGATGGGAAGGGATGGGATGGGATGGGATGGGATGGGATGGGATGGGATGGGATGGGATGGGATGGGATGGGATGGGATGGGATGGGATGGGATGGGATGGGATGGGATGGGATGGGAAGGGATGGGATGGGATGGGATGGGATGGGATGGGATGGGATGGGATGGGATGGGATGGGATGGGATGGGATGGGATGGGATGGGATGGGATGGGATGGGATGGGATGGGATGGGATGGGAAGGGATGGGATGGGATGGGATGGGATGGGATGGGATGGGATGGGATGGGATGGGATGGGATGGGATGGGATGGGATGGGATGGGATGGGATGGGATGGGATGGGATGGGATGGGATGGGATAAGATGGGATGATGGGATGGGATGGGATGGGATGGGATGGGATGGGATGGGATGGGATGGGATGGGATGGGATGGGATGGGATGGGATGGGATAAGATGGGATGATGGGATGGGATGGGATGGGATGGGATGGGATGGGATGGGATGGGATGGGATGGGATGGGATGGGATGGGATGGGATGGGATGGGATGGGATGGGATGGGATGGGATGGGATGGGATGGGATGGGACGGGATGGGATGGGATGGGATGGGATGGGATGGGATGGGATGGGATGGGATGGGATGGGATGGGATGGGATGGGATGGGATGGGACGGGATGGGATGGGATGGGATGGGATGGGATGGGTGGGATTGAAGCGGCATTGGAGAGCGAGAGGAACGCACGAGGAGCAAGGATATGAGGGAAGAGAGGAGCAGCAGCAGCATCCAGGTCGCGACCACGGTCATGGGATGCTGAATTGCCACCTTGGACAATGCAGGAATACACCAAATCAGGACACTGAAGCGCACGCACACACACACACACACACACACACACACACACACACACACACACACACACGCACGCACACACACACACACGCACACACCCACGCACGCACACACGCACGCACGCACACACGCACTCGCGCTCGCGTGCACACACACACACACTCACACACACACACACACACACACACATGCACGCATGCATGCACACACGCACGCTCGCACTGCAGCTGCACCACTATCGCCAATGGCTCCAATAGCCAAGACTATCGCCCAGAAGCTCATCCCATCCGCTCTCAACCATCCCCAACCGTCCCCAACCGTCCCCAACCATCCCTGTCCATCCCATCCATCCACATCCATCCCCATCCATCCCTATTTGTCCCATGTGCGTCTCACAGGCTGTCGAGGCTCGACAAGTGCCCCAGTGACGGTGGTATGCTGCCATTCAGATGGTTGTTGCCCAGGTTGCTGTGCAGGCGCGAGCGGTGTGCGAGGAGGGAGATGGACAGGGGCACGCACATGGGCATGGGCATGGGGATGGGGACGGGCATGCGTATGGCTATAAGCATAAAATTGGGAATAGAAATCCACATGCGAATGGACATGCAAGATGCACACACGCACACAACAGAGAGAGATATCAGGCCAGAACCACTATTCTCTCGCCCGAGGCCCTACAAACCCAGCATGCCAAACGACAGGCCTAGGGACTGGTGCTCTTGACACGCCTCGAGACAAGAGCAGCAACGGCTCACAGTTGAAGCAGGTTGGAGAGCAGACCCAGGGAGTGGGGAACAGGGCCTGACAGACGGTTGTTACCCAAGTCTCTGCGTGTAAAGGCGCGGAGGTTGGGACACACAGCACGGGATGGGAAGGGTTGGGAAGGAATGGACGGGATGGGGACGGGATGCGGTGAGCTCGTTGGGAGGAAAGGAAGGGATGTGATGAGACGCAGGGGATTGGTGCGACAGGAATGGGGAGGGGCACGAGGAAATTCGGGGAAAAGGGCACGACGGAAGTCAGGGGATGAGGCAGCAGAGACACGGGAAAGGGGGGCTGGGAGGAAGTTGACGGGGGTACTCGAGATGTGGGAAAATGAGCGATGCGATTACTGAACGACGTGGGAAAAGGATGGCTGGTTGGGTGGGCTGGGCACAAGCGCGTTAAGGGCAGATGGAAGTCAGAGGAGGTGGTAGAGGAAGAAAGGGGATGGAACAAGGGGTGGAAGAAGCAGGAGGTGGAAGCAGCGTACAGCCAGGTGAGGGCAGTAAGGGCGCTGAGTTCATCTGGGATGGAGCCTGAGAGCTTGTTCATGCCCAGCCATCTGCCGGTGTGTATAAGGGGGGAGGGGAGGGGCATGTCACATGCACGCAGCAGGGCAAGGCGGGAGGTGCAGTGCATCGGGCGGGTAGGCACTGGAGGGGTTATGAGCAGGGCGGGAGGATGGGGAAGGAAGAGCAAGAAAGCATGTGGTTATGAGCAGGGTGGGAGGATGGGGAAGGAAGAGCAAGAAAGCATGTGGTTATGAGCAGATGGTGATTGGGGGTGTGGCATGTGCAGAGCCTTGCACGGGCATGTGGAGAGCCTTGCACGGGCATGTGGAGAGCCTTGCACGGGCATGTGGAGAGCCTTGCACGGGCATGTGGAGAGCCTTGCACGGGCATGTGCTGGTGACACAGCGGCAGCTGCAGCAGGAGGATCTGGAGTAGCAGAAGCGGGAGCAGGAGCCGAAGCAGCAGCAGAAACAACAGTAGAAGCGGCGGCAGCAGGGGGTGATGAATACGTACAGCTGCTGAAGGTTGGTGAGCGCACTAATGGTGTAGGGGATAGTGCCGCTCAGATCGTTGAACCATAGCAAGCTGGGACGGGGAGCAGGAGGGAGGTTGGAAGAGGAAAGGGGGGGCAGAGGACGGGGAGATGAAGGGGGGAGGGGAAAAGGGGGGAAAAGGGGGTTGGTTAAAGTGAGAATGGGATGAGAAGACGGGTAAGGGGTGCGGAAGCAGGGAGGGAGAAAAGGGATGGAACTGGCATGCGAGAGAGAGTAAGGGTGTAGTGTCACGTGGTGAAACCAGGCTGGTAAACGACAATGCAATGACTGTGGCGGAAAGGGGGAAGAGGGAGGGAGGAAAGCAAGGAGACAAGGAGAGAGGGAGGGAGGGAGGAAGGGAGGGAGGGAGGGAGGGAGGGAGGGAGGGAGGGAGGGAGGGAGGGAGGGAGGGAGGGAGGGAGGGAGGGAGGGAGGGAGGGAGGGAGGGAGGGAGGGAGAGATGGAGGGAGGGAGGGAGGGAGAGAGGGAGGGAGGGAGGGAGGGAGGGAGGGAGGGAGGGAGGGAGGGAGGGAGGGAGAGAGGGAGGGAGAGAGGGAGGGAGGGAGGGAGGGAGGGAGGGAGGGAGGGAGGGAGGGAGGGAGGGAGGGAGGGAGGGAGGAAGGGAGGGAGGGAGGAGTGAGTGAAGAGGAAGGAAGGGAGGCAGGGAGCGAGGGAGGAGCGGAATGAGGGGTAAAGGGAGAGTGGAAGGGAGGGAGGGGGGTGGCGGGAGGTGCGTGGGATAGGGTTGGCAAGGGTGCGGTGGCAAGCCGAGGCATGAGGGCTCACAGGTGTGAGAGTGCTGTGAGCTGGCCAATGGTATCAGGTATAGTCCCATTCAACCTTGCTCCGTAGAAGTCTCTGCCATCCACACACTCCGACCACACCGCACCGCACCACACCGCACCGCACCACACAACATCACACCACTCCACACCACACCACACCACATCATCAGTCGCATCCCATCACCAAAGAACAGAGGAAAGAACAGAAATCATGTGCGCCTGGCTCCATCTACGCAACCAGAAACAGCGTCAGGTAGGCAACCAAATGCAACAGAAGAAAATCAACAGCATGGCAGTATGCATATCCTATGCGGGCGGCATGCTAGCCTGGGGTCTACAATCAGAGGAGAGAAGAAGATTATGGGAAGAGGAGAGTGGTGCAGCAGTGCGTACAAGAAGTGCGAGAGGTGAGGCGCGTATAGGTAGGAGAGGCGCGTACAGGTAGGAGAGGCGCGTACAGGTAGGAGAGGTGCGTACAGGTAGGAGAGGCGCGTACAGGTAGGAGAGGTGCGTACAGGTAGGAGAGGTGCGTACAGGTGGTAGGAGAGGCGCGTACAGGTAGGAGAGGGAAACGAGGTTGCCTATGGAGGCGGGCAGAGAGCCCTGCAGCATGTAGCCTTGAGGCGCCCTGTGTGTGTGGCATAACATGGCACATGGCACATGAGACATGAGGCATGACGCACGAGACGTGACGTGGCACATGGTACATGACATATGGCACATGGCACTTGGCTCATGCCTCGAGAAATTGCACTGGCACGGTGCATGCATGTGTGTGGGATGAGGGGAGCGCATGAGAAGGTGGGAAGAGCAGGGGAAGAGTGGTAGAGGAGGAAAGGAGGGAAGAAAGAAGAGAGGGAGGGACGGGCCGAGGTTGAGGAAGGGAGGCCGTGAGCGAGTGAATGCACAAGGTAGTTATTGAGGTGGGAGTGGTTGCGTCAGGTGGTGTGGAGTGGCGTGGGGTGGTGTGGAGTGCTGAGGAGTGATGTGCATCGGTGTGGTGTGTTGTGGAGCGGTGTCGGTGGGTGGAGTGCGGTGCGGTGCGGTGCGGCGCCTGACAGGGTGACACACATTCTGGTGATCATGCCTTGCTCGTTGCACTGAATGGCCTCCGCCTTGCTGCAATCCCCGCCGTTGCTCCACTGGCTCAACCGCACCTTCCACTCTGACTGACACTCCTCCAGCACCGCCGCTGGAGGAGTGTCATCGCATCACACACACGCGTTGCGTTGCGCCATGTGTGATGTGCCATGTGTCATGTGACATGTGTGATGTGCCATGTGCAATGTGCCATGAGTGACGTGCCATGTGCCATGTGCCATGTGTGATGTGCCAAGTGTAATGTGCCATGTGCCATGCGCAATGCAACATGTGCCATGCGCCATGTGCCAAGTGTCATTTTCCATTAGCCGTGTGCCATTGCGCACATGCATGTGCGCTCGCAGCCAGTGGTGGGGATTCCAGGTGGAACGGGGGGGAAAGTGCGAAAGGGTGGATTTCAGAGAGGAAAGGCGGGGAGAGGAGGGATGAACGAATGACCGAGCGGTGGCTTAGGAAAGCGCGCAGGCGACTTCTGAGTCCACTCAAAAGTCACCTGGATAAACGAACGACCGAGCGGTGGCCTGGGGGAGAGCGCATATCAGTGCTGGGCGCAATGCAGAGGCGAGGGTCAGCTAGTCACGAAGAAACTATCACCGTTGAAATGTACAGAGGCGTGGCTTTCCTCAGGTTTGCGAAATGCAAGCCGCGTTGCGCACCCTCGCGAATTACCAGGCATCACCTGGAAGGAACCCCACCTTGTGACGGGTCGAGAAGCTGCGACTGCGCGCGATGCACGCGAGGAGACACCAAGGTCACCACCAGCAGCCATGGCACCCACCGTCGCGGGCTGAGGTCCATTTGGCGCGGCACGGGGAATAGCTCGGTTGTCTGTGTGTGTGTGGACGGCTCACGACTACTAGCATGTGAACTGGTACTGTATGGGAAGATTTCAAGGCTCGCCGCCTTGAATTGAACACGAGATACTTAGGACGCGTGCCCTGAAGCGGAGCGGATCGATGGGTTATGGGATCTGTTTTGCGCGTGGGGTGTACAACTGTAGCGTCGTAATCAACCAGGTAACCCAATGTCGCGGATGTTAACGAATGTGCAGCACAAATGTCCTATTGATCCTGTCACCTGTACAAACCCAGATCGATATAGGGAGGGCCCATATTGATCATGGGATTGGGGGGCGTGGTGTGGGACTTCGCGCCAGGGGTGACAGGCACGATCGATCACCTTAGAAGTCTGAGCGAAGTCGTACGCAAAGGGTTACATTGTTCGCGTATATGCGACACCTTTTGTTTGTCGCGTGCGACTCCAGAGGAGTTAATGCAGGTTGGGTGTACCAGACCTGAAACCTGCCTAACAAAAACAGTCACCTGTATATCGGTGTAGCAGCTGCCATCACAGTTATGCAGTTCCAGACACCAATTGCTGCCGAGCCTGGGCTCAAAATGAAGATCAGTGCGGTTCGGCCGAACCTTGGCCGAACCGCTTCAGGTGACGCGTTCTTATGGTCCATGTTATCAACAGTTATGACCTTACTGGATGCGAGCGTGTAACTATAAAGGGAGTCTTTTTCGTATTCTCTAATTACGTCATACTTCTACAAAACAACGTTGGAAGTAGGACCCTTTCTATAGTTGACACAAAATAATTGTAATATTTTGCACAATGCCGACAAGGCTGCTGTTACAATATCGCAAAATCACATACACCGCGTCATAACGCAAAATCACAGTCTCCTATAGCGCATATTTTGTTTTTGTCATTTGCAAAATAAAATGTACACTCCTCTATCCCATATTCATGTATGCACAATAGAAAACGGCTTCGATACGGGATAGATAGATGTCAGAGGGTCTTAAAAAACCCATGCCATTATAATGTCCACCCTAATTTATATACGTATAATATTAATTCCGACTTCCAAGATGGTCCCCCCCCCCAGGTCATATACGCGGGGAAATGCGGTACATTCTCTTATTACAGTTACACAGCAAGGGAATCTGTTTCAAACAAGATATCGCCGTGTCCCTCACAAATATTTCTGCCAAGCCCGGTCTTTATGGTAACAGCCATCGACCCCTCGCTTCATTGTGTCCCTTGATCTCTGCCTAAGTTAATGTCTTGACCCTGATGCGTTTATGAATGGTAAGTCCAAGACACGGTTCACAGCCAAGCGTGCCTAACCACGTCATCGCAGCTCTCGCAGTAGGAAGTACCCCAAATCAATATCCTTCACTTGCTATCCAATCGAGGCTCTCGACACAAGAGGATTATGACATTGTTGCCAGCGAACAAGGTTGATACAGAGCTAAGCCGCTCACCTAGGTCAGTGAGCAAGAAAGTCAGTCAGCCAGCGAAGCTCTTGATGATCCATGATACGGCCTCAGCACTGGACGAAACGATAGACAACGACTGAGTAAACCTCCGCGACACAACTCTGGAGCCCAATATGAAACGGTACCTGCGAGTTGACTTGCGGATCTCCTCGTCGTCCGCCTAGGACAAGTCGCACTGCCCAATAAGACGTACTGGTTGTCTCCCGCAAAGCACGAGCCCCATGCCTAATGTAGACGCCAGATACTTCGCTATCCTCTTAGTAAACTCCCAGTGAACAGGACAATGTATCACAGACGCAACAAAGTGAGCCAGGACGTTGGGAGGATAGGTGAGGTCCGGTCGAGTGGACGTCACCAGGTACATGAGGTAACCCACGAGCTCTGCATAGCAACCATTAAGCTAAACAGTAGGCTCGTCGGGAACAAGAGCAGTGAGCCTATGGTCCATATCAAGAGGAGTGGGTTGTGTGGTGGAGAACTGAAGCTCAAACCACTGAAGGACGTGCTGCACCATGTGTGACTGAGTCAGAGTGATGGTGTGCACTGCTCTGTTCATGACGATATGCAAACCAAGATAGTTGCGCAGCTCACTGAGATTAGTGTTGTTTTGTCTCTTTTGCAGTTCCGACTCCATATAAGCAAGAGCAACCCTCTATGCACTAGCGAATACAAAGACGTCCACGTGTACGATTACAAAGAAAAGAATGGACCCATATCGAAACGAACAGTGACGGAAGAAGGGCGGAACCTGAGAGAATCCAGGGGGGTACGTAAGGTGCTGTGCCACTCACAAGGTGCCTGGCGCAGACCGCAGACTGGTAGTTTCAGGCTCCATTGGGTCCTAGGTGGGAAAGTGTTGATGACGCCGGGAGAACGGCGAAGCTAGATCTCCTCGTGCAGTTTGCCTTGGAGGAAGGCAGTAGAAACGTCTAGCGAGTGCAGCTCATAGTCTCGATGTGCTGCGACTGTCAAAATGTTGTATAGCTTATATTGTGTAGGCTATAGTGGGGTAGCCCATTAGGGGTACAACCCAATTAGGGTTAGTACTCGTACCCAACTCTTTGCTAGTTCATTCATTCTCGTTCATTCTCTTGACATGGTTTCAGAGCAGGTCCTCCAATAAGACCGTTCTTTTTTCCTTGGGCCCACCACTGCACTGCTCCCAGTGACCCTCGTGTCGCCCCCTTGCCCGTCGCCCCTAGGCCCGTTGCTCCTAGCCTGGCCCGTAGGCCCATCGCCCCGGCGCCCGTCGTCTCGGCCCCTTGCCCCAAGCCTGCGCGCACCGGCCCATCGACCCCTAGCCCGTGCGCCCGGCCCGTCGACCCCTAGCCCGCGCGCCCGGCCCTATCGACCCCTAGCCCGCGCGCCCGGCCCCGTCGACCCCTAGCCCGCGCGCCCGGCCCCGTTGACCCCTAGCCCGCGCACCCCGGCCCGTCGACCCCTAGCCCGTGCGCCCGGCCCGTCGACCCCTAGCTCGCGCGTCCGGCTCCGACGACCCCTAGCCCGCGCGCCCGGCCCCGTCGACCCTAGCCCGCGCGCCCCGGCCCGTCGACCCCTAGCCCGTGCGCCCAGCCCGTTGACCCCTAGCTCGCACGCCCGGCCCCGTCGACCCCTAGCCTGAGCGCCCGGCCCCGTCGACCCCTAGCCCGCGCGCCAGGCTCCGTCGACCCATAGCCCGCGCGCCCGGCCCCGTCGACCCCTAGCCTGTGCGTCCGGCCCCGTCGACCCCTAGCCCGCGCGCCCGGCCCCGTCGACCTCTAGCCCACGCGCCCGGCCCCGTCGACCCCTAGCCCGCGCGCCCCGGCCCCGTCCACCCTAGACCCCGCGCCCAGGCTCCGTCGACCCTAGCCCGAGCGCCCCGGCCCCGACGCCCCTAGCCCTAGCGCCCCGGCCCCTAGCTCTCGGCCCCGCGGCCCGTCCCCCCTTAGGCCCCCGGGCCCGTTGCCCCTCGGCCCCACGACCCGTCGCCCCTAGGCCCCGGCCCGTCGACCCAAGGCCCCGCACGCCGCTTCTTGCGTGCTACTGCTGCTACTGCTGATGCTGCTACTTCTGCTACTGCTGCTGCTGCTACTGCTGCTACTACTGCTACTACTGCCGCCCCTCTCAGCTGATCTTACGTGCTGCGCCGCTATGGCTTCTCTCCGCGTGCTAGCGTTCGATCATGGGGGACGCCCCCTGCAGTTTGACACGTGGCTCGACGACCTGCAGCTGTACCTGCTGAGCGATTCTCGGGACAGTGTTTCGTTGTTTGACCACACGTCTGGCACCGCTCCCGCCCCTCCCGGTACAGATGACAGTGCGACTCGTTCACAGTGGCTGCCTCGCGACGCTGCTGCCCGCTTAGCCATTCGCAACCACCTCCCGTTGGCGGAATGCGCTCACTTCGGACAGCACAGGACAGCACAGACACTGTACGACGCTGTAGTCGCTCGCTACTCCTCGCCTGCCACTGCTGCTCTAGGCCACATCCTCTTGCCCTAACTGTTCCCTGAGCTGTCTTCCTTTGCCACAGTCGAGGACCTGATTCCCACCTTCGCGCTAGCGACGTTCCTTGACAGGTTCCCGCCCCAGATGTACATCACTCTCTACTTTACGGTCACCCGCCTCCCTGACTCTCTTCGCTCTGTCAGGGACCACTTCCTCTCCCTTGACCCCACCTCCCTCACTGTTGACCTACTCGAGCAGCACCTCCTTGCAGCTGAGACTAGTGCAGTAGCTGTAGGTGCTGCTCGTGGCACTCCGCGCACGCCCTTCTTTGAGGGGTGCTCCCCCTCCCCCCTTGCCCCCTCCTACGCCTCTGCTGCCGCTGTAGACGTCCTTAGTACTGAGGACGTCGGGGCTGATTCTGCTAGTGCGAAGCACCGCAGCAGCAAGGGCAAGGGTGGAAGGGTTGATGGAGGAGGCAGCGGGAGTGGTGGTGGGGGCAGGAGTGGAGGCAGTGGCGGCAGTGGAGGTGGTGGCAGCGGTGGGAGTGGTGGATGGGGTGGGGGCGTTGGTGGCGGCGGTGGAGGCAGTGGTGGGAGTGGCGGTAGTGGCAGCGGTGGCAATGGTGGCGGTAGGACTGGAGCTCCGCGTGGAGGATCTGGAGGAGGCCATCGGCAGCGGCAGCAGCGTCGGAGCGAGACCCCATCGCCCCAGCAGCTTTGTGAGTGGTTGTTTCAGCGTGGGGCGTCTGGGGGTAGTGTGAGCTGCCCGTATGTCATTTGCACGGGTGACCGTGCTGGCCAGACATGCGGGAAGGCGCACACGCAGCACAGCTGCTTCTCCCGTCTCGATGACCCTTGGCGTGCTGAGTTTGGTGACGAGGTCGAGCGCCCCCAATGGGCTGAGCTGCTTAGGTCTGGTGTTGCAATCTTTGACCTAGACTATGATGCTATTCTTTTTGCTATGTATGCTTTGTCTGCTAGTGCCGAGGGTGACTGTTACCGATGTGTGCCAGCTGACCCAGGTATAGACGCTGCTGCTCTAAGTGCTAGTGAGTCTGTTCTCCCTGGTACTGCGCCTGCTGAG